ATTTTAACATACACAATTAATTTACATGCACAATTAAATGAACTTAATATAATAATGTAGTATGCACAAATAAATAAAATTAATTAACCTAACACAAAATTAATTTAAATACATTCTTTAAAATTACGGGGTATTACAATGGTATTTTTCACGTGGATTAGAGTTGGAATTTCATGTCAAAGTGATAAAGATGAAAGAAACTTTTGAATTAACTAATGGATAGGGATCAAGTGCTAGTATTTATCTTTTAGTTGGTTTTAGTTAAAAAATAGTGGTTATCTATAGATTACTTTAATTTAAATTCATAGTTAGGTATGTTATTGAGTTCTAATGCAAGTAAAATACTTGCATATAGGAGTTTATTTTTAAGTTATTCTACAAATAATTGTAGAGGCATGCTGTGATAGAGGTCCAGCACCTTCAGAATCATTTCATTATTGTTATTGTTTTCTCAAGCCCTTTTCCAGAATAGCATCATTGCTGTTTTTATCTCTCTTTCTATCTCATTTTCTCTATCTCGTTCTCTCTCTCTATTTCCTTCTCTCTATCTCATTCTATTTCTATATTTTCTCCCATTTCTATTCACTGTTAAAGTCCTTTTAAATAAGGCAATACTAAACTCACAGAGGAGTATACTTGTTCTTTTTCTCTTCGCATTGCCTGAAAGTCAAAATCCTCAAAGAGACTAGCGTTGACTAAACACATTCGAACCACATTGTTGGTTCTGGCATGCCTGCAACAGATTAATTTAGAATCGACTAAGCCAGCCGATTTTAGCGTCAACACTTATGTGATCCAATAAAAATAAAATACGTCATCTTTTGTTAAACAAGTCAGAAAAATAAAGAAAGAGAAAATAAACTGAATCCTACCCAAATGAAATCGGGTAAAGAGGGTTTAATTTTTTTTTTTTTCTCTCTTTTTTTTTTTTTTTTCCTAGGGTTCAACGTTTGGTTCTCTCTTTCTGGCATGAGCCTTCAACCATCTCTCTCCACCATATTCTTCCTCTCAAGTTTCTAGCCCTGGACATCATCATTCAATTGCCATGAATATTTGAAGGAGATATGATCTATTTATTTTTTCATTTACACATTTAGGATTCTTTTTCTAGAAAAGGGCTTTTCATGAACGATTATGTGTGTTAGAATAAATGGAATTTGTAAAGAAATTGAACAAAGAGGCCAATGATTAGCTTGCCACTTTAATCATTCATGGAAAGTCCTTTTTCTAGAAAAAGAATCCTAAATGTAAAAATATAAAAAAATAAAAAAATAAGCAGTATACCTCCTGCAAATATTATTGACAATTGAATGATGATGTCCAGTACTAGAAACTTGAGAGGAAGAAAATGGTTGAGAGAGGGTTGAAGGTTGGTGCCGGAGAGAGAGAAACAGAGACGTTGAAACCTAGAAAAAAAATAATAATAATAATAAAAAAATAAACTGGATCCAGCCTAAATGAAATCGGGTAAAGAGGATTCAGTTTTGTTGTGAGCAAAGTCAACTCAACTTGTCTAGAGATGGAGAAATATTAGTTGACAACAGAAGTGCTTTTGGTGAGTGCAGCGACTATAGAGACATTGATATGCAAATGTTTCTGAAAGTTAAAAGTCAAACAAATTATTATGGAATGTCTGTCTCGAAATAGATTGGTGGAGAATTATAAGGCTGGTTCAGTCCTGGCATAAAATATTAACGCGCATTAGTTCAGATGGTATAAATTTTTATTTTTAAACGAAGAGATTAAGTATTCGAGTCTCAGTGAAGGATATGTGTATTTTAAATATTTTTTATGCAATTGATTGTATAATTAGTACATTTAATATTTCTAATATCTCACATTTAGATTAACAGTTTTTTAGTATACATGTTGATAAATAAAAAAAGAAAATAAATAAATGCAAGGTGTGTGGGCTTGGCGCACTACCGCCCTAAGGGTCAGTTTGGTGCAATGGAAAAGGAAGGAAAGGGAAGGGAAGGTGATAGAGAGGGATTAAAAATTTGTGTTTAGCAAAAATTGTTGGAAGGAAAGGGAAGGGTTTGGAGAGTTAACACAAGGCCTGATCAGTGTTTTGCTTATCCTCCCAAAAATGAGAGGAAAAGGAAGGAAAGTGAAGGGGAGGGTTGATTTATTATCTGTGATGCCTAATTTGCCCTCAAGATTACATATACATACAGGTTAGCAATTGCAGAGAGAGTGAGATACGGCGGGCCGGCGGCTAAAGTTTGCGAACGGCAAGCCCGAACTGAAACAGCGGCGATGGAAACTGAAAATATGGGTTTTGATTCTGATTATTGTAGAGAGAGAGAGAGAGAGAGAGAGAGGGCAAGTACAGAGTTGAGAACGAGATTAGAGATGAAGACGAGATTGGGAAGGCTGAAATTATTTGCCCTTTTATTTTTTTATTATTATTTTTTTTTTGGCCCATCGCCTGGTATAGGAGGAGACAGTCTATATATATATATATATATATATATATGGAGGCGAGATTGGAGAGGCTGAAATGATTTGCCCTATTTTTTTTTGGCCCATCATGGCATAGTATAGGAGGAGACAATATATGTATATATATATATATATATATATATATATATATATATATATTAAAACATAAAAGGGTATAATAGTTCATTTATTAAAATAATTCTCTTCCCTTTCTTTCCTTTTCTTTTCCCAAATATGATTATTACCCTTCTCTTTCTTTTCCTTCATTAATCAACCAAACACAACAGGGTGTTAAAATTATCCTTCCATTCCCTTTTCTTTCATTTCCCTCGTAACTAATATTATTATTCAGGTTCAAACCCACCCTATCAAACATAGCTTAAGTGAACTTGCCCTTTAACCTGGGTGTTTCGGAGGGGGAGGATAATATATGTAAGGTGTGTCTTTTGAGTCACATGTTGCGGAAATTGGTGGACTGGAATATAAGACATGTTGTACTAGAGCTTCTTGGGCCTGGAAACTCTGTTTTGAGGCTTGTTTGCTCTTTAGTTTGTCACAGCAACTCTGAACAGTGGTGGAGGGACATGCTGATTAAACACCGAATTGGTATTTTGAATTTGAAACTAAAATTAGGGGTATATTTGGTAGTATCGAATTGGAGTTTTGGATTTGAAATTGGGAGGTTAAATTCCAAACTCAATGTTTAGATATTACAAATTAACATAGGTTTGGTATTGTATTATAATCCCAAATGTCCTAAATCAGCAAATTGAACCCCACGATTCACTAAGGTTCGTAGTCCAGTGGGTACTGCTCTCCTTTTAAAGTGAAAGGTAGAAGGTTCAAGTCTCTCCAAATGTGAAAGTTTCTTGTCGAAAAAAGAAAAAAAAAAAAAGAAGTTCTCGTGATTCAACCAATGATTTCAAATCATCTTCGATTTTAATTCAATAAGATACATCTCCCTCCATTGCTCACTCGACCAACATGATTGATACCTCCTGACTTGACACCAACACTTCCATGTCGATTGGCATTCGCAGCTTAGATCGTTCCATCTCAATCAAGCCTTTCGAACCCTAAATCAATATCACTTGTCTCTTTTTTCTATTTATGTGTGTTGAGCTGCATACATATGAATTTATATGTTGATTTACAATGCTGGTAGTTATTCTCAAGTTCAAAATATGAAAATAACTTCAATTTAGTGATCAATCTAAACCTTCATTTCATCATTTTTACACAAAATTTATGGACAATTATCCATCAATTTTGCATTCTACATGATCCAAGGTAAGAATTGAGCTCCTCTCTTTTTTTCTTCTTAATTTCCATTTACAACTGTTTTAAAAGCTTCAACTTTGCCTGAAATTCTTTAGTCAATAAAATAGTTTATAAATTCTATGAGGCTGTATTTAGGGGCATGAAATTAAAGCCTTACAATTAAAATTTAAAAAAAAAATTAGTTCAATGTTCTAACTTACTTTTCTCCTATTCTATTAATTTTTTCAAAACTTTAATTATATTCCTACCAACATAACCTGTTTCAATTCGTACTTCCATCAATTCCCACACTGAACATTGGTTAGAACTCATGCTCATTGGTCTCATTCTTTCATTGTTTCGAAATCAATCAAATCATGGTTAGGTTCCCAGGGTATGGGTAGTTCCGAAATCAATCAAATCATGGTTAGGTTCAGGGTATGGGTCCAAAAGTTATAGTCCATTTAACGACCATTCAATCTAAATAGAAATGAGGCCCACAGTCCAGCCAATAATAGGCATAGGTGTCTGATAGCTTAATTCTAAATAAATTAAGTGTATATATATATTTTTCTCACGCCCTGACTTCTTATAACAATAAGTTTCACTTAAATATGATAAAATTTTAAGTGAGGGACTTCATTTATTGTTGAGAATAATGCAAGAGTGCTTCACATTTCACAATTATTCGAAAATACTTTCACATTTTATAATTACCTGATAAAGTAATCTTAATCTTTATTTTTAAAGAGTAACAATATTATATTTTTTATTAAAAAAATAATAATAATAAGAAACTTAACAACAATAAGCTCAATGTCTCACATAGTTATAATAAGACTCAACTCTTTGTGAGATACATACTAGATTAATCAGAATTTGTCGAGTGCATCGGTACTCTTAAAATAATAATAATGATAATAATAATAATCAAATCATGTGCCTGGTTAGGATTAATAATAATAATCAAATCATGTGCCTGGTTATGATAAAACTAAACATATCTTGACATTCAATATCACCAAAATGTATCCCGTGAACACATCAAGTATTTTAATATTTGACGAATTAGATAACCACTTCACCTTCTGGTTCTGGTGAGACAAACAACTGCACCATCTTACACTACTTAAATCTAGATACACACAGTCACGCACACCAAATGATAAAGGTTAAAACAAAAGAATCTTTTGGAAGACACAGTCTTAATTAAGGGGCTATTATCAATATTGTATTTGACATTGGAAAGATTAGTTTAATCATAACAATAAAAATGCACTTGTTTCATGCCAGTGTTGCCTCAAAATCTACCCCCAATGAATCAAGTAAACAATCATTACAAAAATGTGTTACACTACCTATAGAAAAACAAGTCTTCTCTCATCACAATGAAATTTTAGTTCATTTCAAGAACACAGTAGCAGAAATTTTTTAGAAATAGTTATCTGAGAAGTAATCATTCATTCATTAAGTTGCCCACATAAACATGACAAGACTAGTGGAGCTCCATACCCGTTACCATGCTCAAATAAGCATCTATTGCTTCCTCTTTCACCATCTGAAGCCAACCATGAGCTCGACTGAGGAGGAGGAGGAATGACACGGCCGTTGATGAATAGCGAGTTTGGGTCAGAAACCGGCAGGACATGAGAGAAATCATCGGGGGCTGGGCTCTGAGTCCTACGGTAAATGGTGGCAGCTCTCCTTTCTGCTTCAAGAAAGTGGCCTAAAGAGGGAGTGCTATTATTGTTCATGCTCACAGCATCAGTAGTCAACTTCGAGCATATTGAGAATAACCAAGTTTTGGATTTGTAACTCTTTTTGTCCCTCAAGGTCTCACCTGTTCTTCCTCTTGTCGACCTTCGTGAGAGCTCTAAAATGCTGGAAACACCCATGAGGTTCCCGAGAGTGATGCTCTTGTCTCGGAAGAAAGAACCGGTGGACTGGAACAGATCACATGAAGGTGTTAATCTGGTATGTTAGAAGAAGTGGACTAGTTGAATCAACATAATTAACAAGAAAAATTATCCGAAAAACTTCAATACCACACTGATTGATCTAACTTATCTGAGCAAGCTTGAAATTCTATGTACCAATTGATTCACACCCATCATAGAACTTCTGCTACATGCTAGCTTAAAGGCATCATAATAGCTCTCAACTATTGAATCTCATTTGCTACATTATCATCTCATTTAGGCATCTACAAGTGATGATTAATGTAGAATAAAATAGCCCTTGTATATTAGTGATGAGCAAGCTTGAAATTCTATGTACCAATTGATTCACACCCATCATAGAACTTCTGCTACATGCTAGCTTAAAGGCATCATAATAGCTCTCAACTATTGAATCTCATTTGCTACATTATCATCTCATTTAGGCATCTACAAGTGATGATTAATGTAGAATAAAATAGCCCTTGTATATTTATGAAACTATCTACATCATTAACTTCGTATATTACAGTTCAATGATTTGTTAGGCCTGCAATTTCGGGGACTAAACTTGTGCTAATAAACTATATATGTATCCATCTCTGAAATGATTCTATGCTAAATAGAAGAAGCATCATATAACCTATTTTCTTGAAAGAATACTTTTTATGGTGTCCATGACTCCATGGAAGTGGACGTATTAGAGCTAGCATTCTTCATACTTAATAGTGTACATATATACACACATATACATGGTATAGTGTACAAAATGAAACAGCATCATACAGAATCACGTGAAAAGAGTAAAGCGATTCCAACTTTTAATAAGCATCACCGATCAAGACTCAACAAATAAAAATAACACAAACCCTGCATGTACAGAAAGTAGATGTGGACATGTACAGAAATGGTGCCATGTTTGCTCGATTTTTAATGTAATCATCGATCACCCAAAATACAGGAAAGAAAACAAAAAACAAAAAAGGACCACAATAGCCATTGTAGTTGTAGTTAGAAACCAAAATATATTGATGGGTTATAGTCACAGAGCAATTCTTACCATTTTTCCACAACAGAAATGGATAGGTGCATATAGCGTAGGGCACACATATATAAGGAGTATATATACATACCAACATACCTTTGTATACTTGTATGCTTATGATATCCATAAAAAATCTGATTTAGCTTCAATTTGATTAAATGAAAAGAAGGAAAAAGCTTTCCTCCAAAAAAGAAGAAAGAAAAATAAATTCAGGAGGAGTAACTAAAAGCTAAAGTAGCATAAATTTATTTATTTTTTTTTTAATATTACTATAATTATGTGGACTTACATATACAAGTAGATAGATACATAGATATAGATAGATATGTGGTGACCTGAGTATCAAGATCGGAAGAGGAATCGGTGAAGGAGTTGGGTGAAGCAGTGAGCAAAGTGCTGAAGGAAACTGATCCATTGAGATCACGATTTCTGACTAACCCAACTCTCACATTGAGTGGTTGTAGCCCAAGAGGCCATCCATCTTCCTGGGAAACAAACAGTAAATATTCAACCCCTTTGGTAGTCAAATTATACTCATAAACCTTATTCAGAGAGAGACCCAAGAAACAAAATCAGCTCAGATTCCAGAGAGAATCTTTATTTCCAAAGGGAAAATCAAAATGGGAAAAAATCAAGAAACAGAGAGAGGGGATAAACAAGTACCTGTTGAGCCATATGTATGCAAGTTTCTTCGCCCAAGAAGTTTGGGGGATTGAATCCGAGGTCACTTCAGGAAAAGAAATCAAATGTCACGTTTCTTTCCACCGTTACATTCTCTTTCTAAACAACCAAAGTATTCCAAGAACAGTAATGTGATATGTGTGTGGGAATAATTAAAGAAAGGAAGTTGAAAAAGGAAGGACTTGTTTCATTCAAGTGCCAGCAACATTGTCATTCGATATAATATGCGTTTGTGTGTGTGTGTGTATATATATGTAGAGAGAGAGAGAGAGAGAGAGAGAGAGAGAGAGAGAGGGGAAGGTGTTACCATACAGGCTTCTTCTATGTATTACTGGTGGAAATGGAACAATTTAGTAGCAGTACAAGAAAGAGTCGGGAGAAAAAGGAGAAGCACAGCGCAGGACAGAGGGTGGGGAACACTTTATTCGCTGTAAGACCAAAACTACCCCACAAAACTTTAAAGATTACCTTCCCAATTTTGTTGCATTTTTTTTTAATTCTAATTACTTTTATTTTTTATTTATTAATCCCTCTAAATTACATCTGTATCTCTCATTAAAATCCAAATGATATTATAATGAGAAGGCTTTGATACGATCTCACATCTTGCAGCTCTGGTAGGAGTTTAATAGATTAAAATTGAGGATTAAGTGATGCTAGTCATTGATGGGATGAGATCCACTGTAATCAAGATGTCGTCAAGACATTGACTCACCACCATTGCCATTTGGTAGGCTCTTCATGGAAGGCCCACAAGCCCAAATCTTCAAGACTCACTCAATTCAGTACCCACTTCATCCCAAACCCACGACTAACGGAGGAAATTCATCTGCTAGCACAAATTATCTTCTTCTTTTTTTTCTTTTTTCTTTTTTAATAAATGAGAAAAGTCCAGATATACAAGGTTGGTTGTTAACACCACATAATAGCTCAAGCCCTTTAAATGGGATCATGAAGCACCATCCCATCCATGGCATAGGTATTTGAAACTCTCGGTTTTTTTAAATCCAATTTGACGATGAGGGGAGGGAAGAGGAATCTAGCTAGAAGGACAGAAAAGGAAGGGTCGTGGTCTCGTGTTTATCAACCCTTTCCTCCCTTCTTTGGACTGGACCTTTATCTTTATCAGTTCAAGTTTCACTTGCGTCAGCATCCAGACAATACAAACACACACACTGGTAATCGGACACTGGTGTCTATGGGGTCCATACCAGTAAATCTTGTACGTATGAAATTGTTGTTTTGTTTTAAATAAATGGGCAAACTTATTATATGGACGAAAATGCTTTCCACACCGAATCATTTCACGTCGAGTACTGTGGTGGGCTTCAGTTTCACCACTCATGGGACGGTGGGACCTACCACATTGCCAGTGGTCACCTGGAGTCGGCAGATGGCAGTAGCATCACTTTCCTCTACTCCTATATAGTAAAGCATTCGATTGTATTGTAGCTCAATTTGAACCAAATAAAATCAGAAACAAAGATGAGCATTGTTAGATTGTATTCTAACCTTTTACTGTATAAAACTACAAAAATTATTAAACATGTGTTCACAAATCAAAGTAAGCTAAGCCTACCATTATTCAAGCTAAGCTCAGTTGATAAAAGGGCTCTTGGTTTACGTTGGAACTCAATTTGTTTAATGAACTCAAGACTAAACTTGGTCCGACCTGTTCAACGAACAACAGCTCAAAATTCAAATCATTTACAACACTAATTGACGCAGTAATAAGTTTTTACTCCCCATATATCACTTGCAGAAACTTTAGAAGATAAGGGTCCTTTTCTCATTAACAACTGAAGCTTAAGGTGGGAAAACTGTGTTCCACACTCATCAACCTTTCATTAGTACAACCGTACACGATATGACCGTTCATCCTAGTTTTCTTCTCGGAGAAACTACTTGAACTGGATCTGTAATTGAGTACAAGAAAAATATAAATTGATTATATCTATCGCTGAGCATTGGTTGCTCCAGGTCGATATTCTCCAATTCCTAGCAGGTCCTGCAAACGTTTAGATATATATTTCCTTATTACTTAACTATAACATAAAAATATGTATATATACTAAATAGAACACAACAATTGTCAGCTACTAATATAATTATCCTGAATATGGCACTTTCAGCAGACTGCAGCGCAGTTAAAAAAATATATATATGAATTGAACCGGACACACACAAGAATTGGAGGTGGAGAAAATTTTTATAAAGAGAGTAATTGGGCAAGCAACATGTCTGCCAATGTTGACTATTATAATAGCACAAGGTTTGTACAAGCACGAGGTTTGGAATGAATTGAAGTCATCATTTGCAGATTTTGGAATGAACCAGCTCGGAAAAAGGAAACACAGACCTGGCATGCTTTATTTTTGGCCCTGGTTTCTGCTGTGCTGGGAATATCATTATTTGGTTTCAAAAATCTCTTTTCACGTCGTTCACATGAGCCCCATCCATCTGAAAACCTACCACCTCTAGGAACAAGAAGAAAATAATTGACTAAACATTACTGATTACACAAAGACGGACAAAAAAACTCATAGAGGAAAATAAGTTGCTGTTTGTGACCAAATCAAAAAGGACAAAAAGACATACTGCATGTGTGCCCGCACCACAAATTCTGCACGCTGAACGTTACGATTCTCATCAAATTCAATGGTCTTGTCTTTAATTTCATAAGAGAGATTGAAGTAAAATGATATCTTCCTCCAACCTGTAGAGAACATATGCACTCCAACTATCTATTATGTTGATAGAAAAGTAAAGAACACAAATTCAATGGTCTAATCTTTAATTTCATAAGAGAGATTGAAGTAAAATGATATCTTCCTCCAACCTGTAGAGAACATATGCACTCCAACTATCTATTATGTTGATACAAAAGGAAAGAACACAAAATAGAGTTTACCGGATTTTTTAATGTAAGGGCTTCCGGAAATCAAAGTGTAGTCAGTCTTCTCCAGAATCTGTGCATTAAAGTGACATAAAAAGATGATTAGTTCAAAATAAGCTTGGGTAATTAGTTGTGCAGAAAAGCATAACCAAGTATGTGTGTGTGTGGGTTTAATCATTGCTTGTAGTTGCACTTGTGCATCTACATCAGTTGCTTTGGGAGCAAATTAATATCAGTACTATCTAGATTCCAAGAGAGGCTAGATATATTCACAAAAATTTAGAACAGACACACATGATGAATTTTATACTTCTCTATGATATCTAGGCCCTTATATTAAGTATTGTCACTGTCCAAGCATCAATATAAGTAAATTATGAGCTATACTAATTTACTAACAAACTCATGACAGTGATCAGTGTCTAAAGCTCAATGCAGTTAGTAAATTGAAAGAAACGAAAACCGGAGTGAACAAAAAGTTAGAACAACAAAAATGAAACTTCAGAGTAAGGATAATTAACTGAGAGTGGAAATAAGAATGATGTCTACATGTGCATGATAACCTTGCAAAGACAGGGACAAAAAAAATTAAGTCAACACAGAAACTGTAAAGTTGTCACTTAAAACTAGTTATCAACCAGTTGTTCCTACATGTAAGGTATTAAAGAGCTCACACAGCCATCTGAGTATTTCACAGTATCTAGGATTTAGAAGAAAAAGTTAAAATTGTTATTTTACTTCTTCAGAGGGAGCAAAACATGATGTACGACAATGTGTCACAAATTATAATTAACTATGACATATTCTGTGTTCTTATTTATCTTTGATTGTTTTTCTTATCAAACACACCTTTAAGTATTAGTTATGGCATAACTGATAAAGCAACTTGCAATGAACTGCCAATGTTGGCTAAACAAGAAAGAACACCATTATATTGCATTACATATACGAGAAATAGTTTACGACCATGTAAAATATGAGAAAAAAGTGTCACAAAAATAGGATAGATGGTGAAGTATCTACTGGAAAGAAATCGAAAGGGCTATGAGAAGAAATCTTTCTACAGTCAGAGATTTAAGGCTAGACGAGTCAAAGGTGTTTGTTAAAGGCAACCTCAAAGATGCTTCACACCTTGTATTTCAAGTCCAGTGATATGCTATGAGGCCACTGTCATTTTTGTACAGTGTCCACATGTTTAACAGGACTAGAAGAAATTTCAAGTGCCATGAACAGTAAGAAGCTCTTGTATCAATCTAGCAAATTGACATATAGAGCAGCAAGAACCGGAAAACTTATAAGTTGAATTCACATAACCACTAAATCAGCAATGCTAGCAAATGAAAATCGTGCAGTGGGGCAACAGCAAGAAAATGATCTATCAGAAGCCTTCTACATTCAACAATTGCTGAGTTATGTATGAATTTTCAACAATATAAAGGGTTTTTTTTATTATCAAATTTCCTTACTTGTAAGGTTAATTTGCATAAAGACCAAGTCCAAATACTAGTAAATTGAAATCATACAGAGGGTCAACAACAAGAAAATGATCTATTTTAGAAGCCTTCTACATTCAACAATTGCTGAGCTATAATTTTCAGTATAGTTTCCATACTTATAAGGTTAATTCACATAAAGACCAAGTCCCAAATGCTAGCAAATCGAAATCATGCAGAGGGGCAACAACAAGAAAGTGATTTATTAGAAGCCTTAAAGATTCAACAATTGTTAAGTTATGTATTAAAATTGTCAATGATATATAGAGTTGTTTTGTCTACTTTGTGTAGGACATGTATATTATTCAGATGGAGTATTCACTATTGAAGGATAAAAATGGAAAACCAAATTGAATAAAACAATTACCGCCATAGCTGCATTCTGGTACTCTTTGAACAAAGAAACAGAAGGAAATTGACCGGCCAAGCTATGAGTCATGTTCGGTCTCCCATCACTCTGCCTGCAATTGATTGGCGAACCCTCAAAACCAGGATTATACTCATTCACAGCAAACCTCCCGACGTCCGGCGACGAAAACCTCCTACTGTCCGGCGATGAATACAACGGCGTAGTAGGCGTGCGCTGCACGTGCCTGATGACAGCCAGAGGACTCGTCTCGCTGAGCTCGGAAACACAAGATCTGGCGATCTTCTGCGGGCGGTGGTGAGCCCTAGGCTCTTGTAAAACCTCGCCTTCGATTGAAACTCTGATACTGTTGTCGGCCGAGTGGTGATGATGGTGGTTCCTAGGGTTTTTGGGGAACTTTGTAGGAGGTGAGGGGTTGGGGTTGGAGACTGGGCTTGTGTATTTGAGTGCGAGGGGTTTGCGAGATTTGGAGGTGGAGGAGAGAGAGGCTGCGGCGGCGGAGTCGATGACGGCCCAGAGCGCGGCGTCGTCGAGGTCCTTGTCGTCGACTGGGTAGTGAATTTGTGAGGTCATTGTCTCCGGCTGGGATTGAGACGGAGTATGAGAGAGAAAGTAGGTCTTTACGAGTGAAGATTTCTGCTTCTCTCTTCCACTGTGTGCGTGTGTGTATGGGGGGGGGGGGGGGGGGGGGGTTGTTGGGATGTGGATCAGATCAGTGCCTCTGTCGACTGCGAAGGGACAATAACGCGCACAATGTGAATTCAAATCGGAGGAGACAACGGGAGTGCAGTACGGCGTCGTAGGCAGCTACAGAAAAACATTGGACCTGAAAACCCGGGACGCCGTCGTTTCGATGATGTCAACACTGCAACGCATTTGCTGCTCGTTATCCAGAACTATATGTCATGAACTTATTAGGTAGCAAAGTTGGATTCACTTGCAATGTTATCCTTTGATTCAAATAATTGCTGGGGGGACGTGGCGGGGGAGCAGGCTGCAAATGAACCGAGGTGAGGTGACCAGACTCTTAGGTTGTTCGGGCCGTTTGTTTATAATTTGGTTCGAGTTCATGATGAGCTCAAAAAATTAAGTTAAAGTTCGGATTCATCATGATGTTAAAAAGTTCAAGTTCAGCTCATTTAAGAAAATAAATTGAATTTTATAGTCAAAATTTGTTCAAGCTCGTTTTTGAGCTCGCCAGATTGTTTAACAAATTATTTTATATTTATCTTATACTTCCAAAAATTAAAGAATTTCATTAAAAATTAAAAATAAAAGTAAACGGGTCTTAAAACGAGCCTATGGTTTATAAACATAAACGAGCTTACACGAGCCTACACGAGTTCATGTTGATGAGCCAAGCCTAGCATTGCTCGGGAGCGGTTCGTTTACTAAACGAGCTTATAAATCAAACTCGAATTCAGTTTATTTGTTTAATGAACAAACCCGAGTTGTTCATGAACAACTTGGTTTATTTGTAGCCTTACAGGGAAGGGTACACCCATCCAACACCGCCATTGCCAACCCGGCCACCAGATAGAATCAAATGCGATTTTAAGTTTAACGTGATTCAATACACTTTAAATTAATAATGTATCACACTATATAAAAAAGACAACGGAAGCACAAATATTATATTAAGGTGTCTGTGGTTGTATTAGGCACTTGTAGAATATGTCGATACGGTCCAAACACATCAAATATGATTAGAAGTACCATTTTTTATTTTATTTTATTTATTTATTTTCTTGGTTGGCCATGGCATGGACATAACTAGGATATGTTTTGAATGCTTTTAAGATATGACGTGATTCAATGCAATTTAAAATATATTAAGAGTTAATTAAAAAAAAATCTAAAATTTAAGAAAAGAAAAAATAACAAACATTTAGCTCTGAGCTCCAAATTAGTGATTTTGTAAAGGGGTGGCAATTCATGTTCGCGAGTCATAATTATGTTGTGTCGATATAAGGACATTCTACTAAATAGTTCAACCCGAACACGACTCGTTTAATATTCGTGTCAGGAACGCTCAACTCTAGTCCGATCTATTTATTTAACAGGTTACATATCCTATTTACTAATATAAAATTTTAATTTATTTAAATTATTAATAATACTCAATCATACAATAAATATTATAAAATAATAAGTTTTAATCTAACCAAATTAGTAAATAATATCTAATCTACAAAAGAGTACATTATAAGACACAAATTTAAATAGTTATTTTGAAACTTAAATATAAATTTGTTTATGACTCATATAGTTAAACGGGTATAAACGGATTACACGGCTTGAAACACCTCAATCCAAACATGATATGATTAAATAAACAGGTTAATTGTGCTGACCTTTTTACGACTCGAACCCATTTAAGATCAACTCAAACCCCGTTTAACCCTTGTCGTATTGGTGGGTTGTGTCAAACTTTGTCACTCCTAATTTAGTTATGATTGTATGGATAAAATTATATAATATATATACATATATATAATACCATATTGTATTACTACCTAATATCTTTTTAGGTATTCATGGAATATGCGTATGTGTCCATATCATCTATATTTTTAGAATTTGTGGTATCATAATATTCATATTGTGTCGTATTCGTGACCTATATCGAAATTCGTAAATCAACAATGGAATATAACTCATTTATATATCACTTATCCAACATATTATATCATATAGCAATATACAATACCATTAGATTAAAAAATTAACAACTCTTTCGATTTTAAATTATTATGTGGTTACTGTATAATCCATTTAAAATTATTACATAGTGTATTATCAATTTAAATATTAGTGAATTCTACAACCAAAAGATATCTATTACGATTGACATTTAGCCCAATGATACAACTTCTCATCTTCAATGAGGCGGAGATGGGTTCGTGTCCGATTTGGATAAAAAGTGTGTGAATGTCTCATCCTTGCAAAAAATAAATAAATAAATAAAAATTAATGGCACTGTACCTTATTCTACTACCCAAAAACTGGGAAGTAAAACCCAGGTGACAGTTGTATTGAGGATATGTCGCCTACATGTGTATGTGTCATTATATACATAGTATACACACACTGATATACCAACGGATGGTCGTTGGGGTTGGAGAGAGACCGAATTTGTTGCACATTTAAGGTGCATTTCATTTCTCCTCACATCTCCTTCACCACTTCCTATTTTATTTTGAAAGGCGAGGCGATTCTGGGACACAATATCTCTTTCTTAAGAAACGCCATTTTATAGGGTTTCAAGCGAAGGCGAGTTCTCCTGAATTTTCATTCTATTTTTGTATTGATTTATCAGTTGATGCGATTGCATGACTATTGATTTTGACTACTGATCTGTTTGATCTTGAGTTGTTCGAATGTTTTGATTGATGTTGATGGATATTTGTTGTTTGATGATCGGTTTTGGGATTGGTGTTGGGATTGCATTGTAATTTTGTTGAATCCGCAGTGCAGACTAAATTGATTAAGAACATTTACACACACTAATACATACACGAATATACATACATATATATAAATATATATATTTATGTGAACTATTTGCCATAATTCGGATCCGTGCTCGGATCATTTTGTGTATGAATCTGCATTGTGGGTTTTGTAATTTTGAGATTTTTGTTTTAATAAATTTTTTTTAGGTGTTTATGCCGTTTATCTGTAAGTGTTTTTACTATAAGTATTTTTGTTTTCTTATCACAACGCGGAGTTTGATTGAGTTGAATATCTCCATTTGCGAATTTTTGTTTTCTTATTACAATGCGGAGTTTGATTGAGTTGAATATCTCCATTTGCGGTTAGGGAACGGTCTCTTCTGATTATGTTTCTGATGAGTTTAGTCCAAATGTTTTTGAAAGGAAATCATTCATACCCGGTATCATGGTATCTGTGTTTAGACTTTGGAATGCTGAATTTTGATTCGAAAGAGACAGCTCAAGATAAGCTGCTGAAATATTTGGCCATTGATTTTATACTCCTCTCTCATTTAAACGAGTTTGGGAAAGTATGCTGGTTTTATATATATGATTAATATTAACGGATAATTCAGATGATTGCTATGTTTTTGTAATATTTGACTGATTTTTTTTGTTTTAATTAAAAATGCTGTCCAAAGATAGCTGTAAAATGCAGCTTTGCTGACCATGTCAGATTTGATTGGAATGTATTCCTCCATCAGATTGAAAATTGTAAACCATGTTCAAGCTTTTATCTTTTGCTAGAAAGTTTGGTGCATGTTGTTTATATACGAATATTACGAGCCCCATGGCCTTCTGTTGTCATTGTTTATGCTATTAGTTCTTCCTTGAAATTTCTTTGTCCTAATTGGAACAACAAACGTCTTAAGAGTGGGATTGCATGTAGACTCATTCATGTTTATTTATTTATTTGTGGACTGGTGAGTGGTGACTGAAGATGCTGTTACTTTCACTTCTTTCTGTATTAAATTCATGGTTTAAGGTAGTGTATAATGGGTATCTGTAATAGTTTTATTGGTCATCATTTTGTATGTCACTGAGGCCTTATCAAGGACCTGCTGGTTAATTCTTTTGGCCCATTAAGAGGTCTTGCTCTGGAAAGTTTTTACTGGTTATTTGAACCGGGTGTTAATTGTCTCTTGTTTTTTCCTTTTAACAGGCCATTCAAGTTTTAGATTATAAGAAGTTCACAATATTTGTGTATAAGTTTCTACATTCATGTTATTTCTATGTTGTTTGGTGATCACTAATATGTGTGGCCCATTAAAGGGTCTTGCTCTGCAAGGAGTCTTGCATAAGCGACTTTTCAGTTTTGTGTCTGATTTTTCACTGGCTCTTTGAAATGAGTAATTTTGTCTCTTGTTCTTTTCCTTTTAAAATGCTTTTCAAATTTTAGATTATAAGTAGTTCAAGGTATTTGTGTATAAGCTTCTAAAGTCGTCTTTATTTCCATGTTGTATGGTGGTCATTATAGCAAACTCACTTGTAATTTTTGTATATATGTTTGAAGATCACTACAACCCGAGTGATTAGAAGAATCTGGTTAAAATATTGACATAGTGCATAATTTTAAATAATTAATATGTAATTGTTTTCTTAACTCACAATCCTAGGAGCTGAACTCAGCCGACTAATCCTAGAAAAGTAAATTATAATTTATAAGCTTTCCCTGCTCCCCTTCCTTTTGGATTATAAGTTCAAGATATTTGTGTATAAGCTTCTAGACTCATCTTATTTCCATGTTGTATGGTGGTCACTATAGCAAACTCACTTGTTATTTTTGCATATATGTTGCAAGTTCTCTATATGTTGAGTGACCAGAAGAATATGGTTACATTGTTAATATAGTACATAATTATTAAATAAATAAATAATTAATCAGTGTTTTCTTGATTCACAATCCTAGGAGCTGAACTCGGCCAATTAATCCTACAAAAGAAAAATAATTTATAAGCTTCTGCCCTAACAATCTGATTGTTAATGTGATGCTATATTCTCTGGCAGGCAATAGAAGATGGCAGATACTGAGGATATTCAACCTCTCGTCTGTGATAATGGAACTGGAATGGTCAAGGTATCAAATAAAATGCTTTAATATTTTCTTTCCTCATTTTACCTCTTTTGTGGTGAAATTAAATAACTGGTGTTTTATTAGAATATTCTCAATATTGTTCAATTTTGCCTCTTGGATTTCAAATTATCTATGATGCTGCGAACTTGTTCTTATAGGCTGGGTTTGCTGGAGATGATGCTCCAAGGGCTGTGTTCCCTAGCATAGTTGGCCGTCCACGTCATACTGGCGTTATGGTTGGCATGGGGCAGAAAGATGCATATGTTGGAGATGAAGCCCAGTCCAAGCGTGGTATTTTAACTTTGAAATACCCAATTGAGCATGGTATTGTTAGTAACTGGGATGATATGGAGAAGATCTGGCATCATACCTTCTACAACGAACTTCGTGTGGCTCCAGAAGAGCATCCAATTCTTCTTACCGAAGCTCCACTCAATCCAAAGGCCAACCGGGAGAAGATGACACAAATTATGTTTGAAACTTTCAACGCTCCTGCTATGTATGTTGCCATACAGGCTGTGCTTTCCCTCTATGCCAGTGGCCGTACAACTGGTAAGCTGTTCATTACATTTCAGCTTTCTCAATTTTAGATATTTCTTTTCTTGTTTCTAGGTTGATTTGCTTAAATATTTAAGATTTAGGCTTACTAGGAATTTTTTTAGGTCGGTGACAGTGAAGATAACTCTAATGGTTGATATACATAGGTATCTAAAACTAGGAATCAAATCTTTGATGAATCCTCTCCGTTGATTGTTGTAATTGTTGCATTTATGTTGCTTTGATCAGGGTTTTGCTTTGTATGAAATATGGGAAGCTGGATTGACAAACTCTGGAATCAAGTGTACAAAGTGTGCTGTATAAAACATTTGTTGTCATTCTTGATTACTCAAAATAATTTACTAATTCACAAAAAAATATGGAGACTGTTTCCCTTGGATGCTCACTTGTAATTCTGAATCACTGACTATAAACACTGTAAATGATGAACTATTGCTAGAATTGTGTCTATTGTGATGACGGAACTGGTAAACCAAGTCTCCTTGGGTTCTATTTGCTTTTGTGCAGGTATTGTTCTGGACTCTGGAGATGGTGTCAGCCACACAGTCCCCATTTATGAAGGTTATGCTCTTCCACATGCTATCCTGCGTCTTGACCTTGCTGGGCGTGACCTCACTGATGCTCTGATGAAAATTCTGACCGAGCGTGGTTACTCTTTCACCACTACTGCGGAACGTGAAATTGTAAGGGACATGAAGGAGAAGTTGTCATACATTGCCCTTGACTATGAGCAGGAACTAGAAACTGCCAAGACAAGCTCTGCTGTGGAGAAGAGCTATGAGCTACCAGATGGACAGGTAATCACCATTGGTGCTGAGCGCTTCCGATGCCCTGAAGTCCTTTTCCAGCCATCTATGATCGGAATGGAAGCTGCTGGTATTCATGAGACTACTTACAACTCTATAATGAAATGTGATGTCGATATTAGGAAGGATCTCTATGGAAACATTGTACTAAGTGGTGGGTCCACTATGTTCCCTGGTATTGCCGACAGAATGAGCAAGGAAATAACCGCGTTAGCACCTAGCAGCATGAAGATTAAGGTGGTGGCACCACCCGAAAGGAAGTACAGTGTCTGGATTGGAGGCTCCATCTTGGCATCTCTCAGTACTTTCCAGCAGGTGGGTTTGGTCATATAAATATTTCTTTTTCAGTATTCTAATTCAAATGCTATCTGCAGTTTTTCTGATGGGAGAGTTGATTGTCATTTTGAATGCAGATGTGGATAGCAAAGGCAGAATACGATGAGTCTGGTCCTTCAATTGTTCACAGGAAATGTTTCTGATCGCTAGCGAGAAAAGCACAGATGGACCGAGTACTGATATTGGTTTGGAAAAAAAATGCTGCTTGCATTCTTTTTCTTTGGTTCAACCTTCTTTACTTTCTCATTATTCTAATATCTGGACAATGACCTTTAGAGGGCAGGCGATTTGCTTGAATGTTTCCAATTTTGAATGAATGAATATTTTAAAATTATAAGTGCTTCTCTTCAACACAAATGGTCTATGTGAAGGCTGTTTTTCACCATTTTTAGCTGTGACAATTTGTTACCACTTGCTTGCATATATGCTTCTGTTATTACCAAAAACAAAAAAAGCCAGTTGGCTGTTTCTGGTGGATTAATTAGAGAAACAGGATTTCTGGCTGACCTTCACTATGAAACCATAGAAAAGCTGAATTTCCTTGCTAAAATGAATATTTCAGTTGGATTATTGATGAAGAATTGTAATGTGGTTTACAACATTTGAACATTACAGTGATTCAGATTCCATGGTAGAGGCCTTATTCATGTTTGTCGACGTTTCGTATCTCATGGTGTCCCTTCTTTTCTCCCTCTTTAGGCTCTTTAATCAGTCGAGAGAAAATGGAGGAAAGTCAAAATAGAAATAAGACATTTTGCTTAACGTGTTTACATATCCCTTCAAATAGGAAATGTAGAGTTTTATTAAAATCTAAAGGTATTTTAGTTTGACAAATTTTTGCAACTACATGTTTGTTTATCATTCATGTATTCCTTAACCAATTTATTGGAAGCCATCATCTTTTGATGCATCTTTTCTTGTCTTATTACATCGTCCTTTGAAACTTGATAGAGGCTGAACTAAAAGTAGTTGATGTGATCTTGTTTTATATCTCATCCACTCTCATATTTGAATTCTGCTTTCCATTGGACTCGGCAATTTGGTCCAGTGTCATACGGTCAAATTTACAACCTTTTTGTGTGTGTGTCTGTGTTTTGTTGTTTCCGCTACGGCACCAAGTCAGCATCGACTGCTTAGTCCCTCTCAAGTGGGTTTACTATTTGGACCTTGTGTTGTGCTTTAGTAAGGAAGGATCAAGTCAAATAAAAAACAATTTTCAAAACCTAATGTCTTTTAATTTTTCTAAAAACAAAAAATTGAATCAAACAGGTCCAAAACTTCTGAGAAGTGTTGGATATGACACAATATGTGAGGAATGACTTGATTAATCTCTAGCTGAGATACTCTACCTGAGATCAAGGAATGGCATATCCTTGAGCAATCTCTCTCTCTCTCTCTCTCTCTATATATATATATATATGTGTGTGTGTGTGTGTGTGTGTGTGTGTGTGAGAGGAAAAAGGCTGACTTTAAAGTTTGCATTATATAATGATAAATGTTTTAGGCAAGACATCAAAATAGTGGAATCCACCTCTCCATTCCCACCCAGAAGCTTCAGGTTCAAATCTATCATTCAAGTTGCATTATTCTATAGCTATTTGGAATTGGAGAAATAGCAATTTTATACTTTTGTGTCATTTGAAGTCAAATACAGAATTTCAACCCTCCTTGGAATAATAAATAGTAGTTTAGACCGATTGTGTTCCAGAAGAAACTACTTACATATTTGTTCACAACCATCCAAATTTAAATGTATAGGTGTTTGTTTAGGTCGGTGTGCCATCATCATTATCACCACAGTGGTTCCTTGTCCTAACAAACAGGGCATTTGATGATGACACTCCAAATTACCAAAACCAAGTACGCCTTTGAACGTATATTTAATAGGCCACGAGGAGTTTTGAGTTGCCAATTCCACAAGCAACCTTCTTCCAATTAATTTGAAGTTCATGTATTCCTACTTATCAAGTTGGAAAAGAAGTTATATTGAGATATATGGTATAAGAAAAAAACAAAAAAAATCATATAGATATAATGGTGGTTTGTTATATGATTATATCAAATTAGCTTTTTCAATTAGCCAAAAAAGCCAGACTATATCATATATATATATATATATATATATATATATATATATTTGTTTTTATATTGCTTTTCGGGAATACTGAATTGATTTATTAAATTTAGAAATTTTTATTAATTTTTTTCAATTCTAAATTCAAGTAGTTCATTTTGGGCGAAAGTATGACAAGCTACTCAGACACCCATTTGTCTCTGCAGATACTTAGACTACAACCTTCTCTAATAAATTTCATATTATCTTTCAAACGCATTCATACATAAAAGTATATATATATACAAGTCGGTTTGTATAACACGTTTTCTTTTTGTGTCGTAGTCTTGGTCAATTATTTGTTTTGATTTGGGAGTCCGGTTGCAGAATAATCAATCTTATGTTAGTTTCTAGTTAGACGCACTAAAGATTTTATATCAGAACAAATCATAGTGGCTGACTTTTTATTTGTTGGAAAAGTCTGTGCTCTTGCAATAAATTAAGAGCCTCTTGCTTTCCAATTGATGATGATTTAGTAGGAATAATATTTAATATTTTAATACAACCTAAAATGAGTATAGGATTAGTGACAAATTAATGATGGATTTTATTGACTATCTGCATCTTCTCACAACTGCATTTCATTGTGTCTGCAATCAGATCTCAAAACAAGTTGCAGTGAGGTACTTCTGTAGATGCCAATATGGAACATCCTGAAAACTAGCCTAAGAGTGACTACTAAAGATGTGTGCACTTCATGGTCCACCAGTCTCATTGGAAATATACTACATAACTGTTTGGTTTCCAAGAAAGTGAAGGAAAATAATTATAGGATTTGGAATTATTCCTATTCCATATGATGGTAAGATTCCAAATTAAATGTATTCCCGTAGAGTTATTGTATTAAGTGAAAAACAGTCTCAATGAGTTATTGACTAAGATTATAATCTTACATAGATGATAGAACCAACCTTTGACTGAAATAAGTCTGATTCAAACTGAACAAATTAGTTGTTCTTAGTGTGACAGTAAGCAAACCACAACACAAGAAAGTAGAACACTGCAAAAAGCACACAAATATAAGAACATAACATTGTATTATATATAAAAATGAATGAATTTAAGACCAATTGGTCAATTGTTTTTTCCTTATCAACATGTATACTGGAACTTATACCCCCAGGAAAAAAAAAAAAAAAAAAAAAAAAATGTATAGTGAAACTTCTATTTTTGGGGAAATGAAAACCCTCAGGAAGCACCATTTTTAAAAGAACTACAATCTTCTATCACACAGTGAGTGAGGGTGACAATCCCTCTGAACTACAATCTTCTACCACTATGGTGGGACTTATTAGGTTTTTGTGTAAACGTTTTTGAATCTTCTGTATATACATCTACATTGATGAACGCCATATCCTTCCTTCGAAAGAAATAATCATAATGGAAAGATCATCATGGTAGCGACGCCTGTCCCCTTGTGGGATGTCAAGCAATTCATGGAAGTCCATACCGGCTTTCTTGGCAGCCCGAAACAACACTTCTTCGACAAGATGTTGAGCAGGATCACCCTCTGGAAATGCCTCAATGAACCTCTCGACTTCAGAGACCGCTTCTTCGTTGTCGAAATATTGGTAGAGCCCATCAGAAGACAAGATCAAAAACTTGTCTCTTGGGGTTAGTCTGTGGTGACGAAGGGAAGGGGAACAGTTGATATAGGGTGCAACTCCAACATAATCAATTCTGAACATCTCTAAAAGTGCATTATTCCATTTGGGCTGCAAAAATTCCAAATAGATATATTAGGAACAGAATTAACATATCTATAATACAAGATATCAAAATTTCATAAATAGATTTGATCATGTCCATTTGAAAACAATCAAATAGAAATGAACCTTTAGCATACAATGGCCTCTACTGCAAATATGGAATGCTATGGACCAAATGAACCTTACAAATGTCATCCATGACCAAATTTTTTATAAGAAAGATGGACAAGTTTTTCAAATATTGGTCACAAATTAATCAACAGAAACTCTGAAAGTTTAAAATGTTCTATCTATGTCAATTATGCTTGTTTTTGAGTTAATCTTAGAACAAGAAGTACCTTCTTGAGAAAGCCAGCACCAAAAGCTCGAGTGACCTTCAGTGAGCCTTTCACTCGATCATTGGATATAGCAGAAGCATCATCCCGGTGCTCATTTTTGATTCTCCGAACCTCCTGAAAATTGAAAGGCAAAAATTCATGTAAGATTAAATCTTTAAAACAAAAACAGAAACAGAACACAATTATCAGTCTAAAAAACGAAAGAATAGAACTTCACCTCATCCACAGATGTGCTATGATCCTTGGTGAGCTGAAGAGAAGTTAATTTTGGCAAACTGTCGAATTCTTCACCATCAAATGCTTCAAGATCATTCAAAGTCTCTTCTCTGATCCTTTCCAAGTCATGGTTTGCCTTTCCAATCCGAAGATCGGGTTCAGCTTTCTGAGCTAAAACAGCCCTACTATCACCCACATTCATCACATACACATCTTCCCCTTTCATCAACATCACCAGAGCACAAGAACCCATCAAAGACAACTCCGGATTTTCCGTCAACATCAAATCCGCGATCTCCAAAAATGATTTCTCTGTCTTCCTCAAGCCCTCTGAAAGCGCTTTCAGAACCTCTGAATGGTTAATACCACCAGTTGCTCCATTTGAAGCTGATTTTTCCAATTGTTCCTTCAACTTCCTATCAAGCTCTATTCTTTCTCTATCCCATTCACACCTCCACTTCCTTTGACTCTCTTCCCATTTCTTTCCAACCCCTTTTGTCCTGTTCTTTGAGTTCTTACTTTTCCTCTTTGAATTTGAATTACAATCCAAATTCATATCCCCAATTGAACATGGAAAATTCTCTTGCTCAAATTCACCATTTTGAACTGAACCCACCGTCTCTAAATTCGAATTCATGACCAAAACAGGTTCGTTAACAATTGAATTGGGCATGGATTCGAACTTGTCATTCCATTGTAACCCCTTGAGCTCCTTATGAATATTGGAGTAAAGATTGTTGAGCAAAAAATCAGTGGCATCAGGACCATTAAACCCATCGTAAATCCCAACAAAAACCCATCCATTTTCCTCTGAAACCACGATATGAACCCGATCCTCTCCGGCCTTTCCTTGTGCCCATTGAAGATTCTCATTCTCAAGCAACTCCTCATCATCATCACCTAAGCTCACTTGACCACTCAAGGTGTGGCTGTTGTTACTAGCTATACTATGCTCATTGTTCTTCTCCAACCCATTAGCCCAATCAAATTCTTTACCCCCTCGAATCGGAACAACCATCGACTTCCCCATGATTTTCTTGAGAATTCTATTCAAAACCCATTTCTTGGTTTTACTTCTATACCTCTTAAACTGATCGTATTGATTCTCCAATGGACCCGAAATGAAGCTTCGCTCTATAGGACCTGATAAGAACCCTCTTTCCATCGGTCCCGAGCCCGGAACAGCACCGGAGTATCGGGGAATTGGGCCGGAATAGATGGAGGGAATTGAATTCCGCGGAATCGGTTGCAGAGGAATGGAAGCGAAGGAATCGGAGCTCTCGAAAGCGGAGGCTTTTTCAAGGTACGGAGAGAGATCTACTATTGATGTAGAGAGAGCCGTGGATGTGTTGGCACTGATGGAAGCGCCGGAAATTGATCTGAACGTCGTGGTGGAGTCATCTTTGGAGGAGGAAATGAGAAACGGGTCAGGTCGTATGTAGCAGAAGGAGTGGCCCAAACCCTCGTCGAGAGGATTGGAGAGGAACACGGCGATGTTGTGTTGTCGCCCGGAGACTTTGCCGGCGTCCCCCGAAAAACAGAGGGTGAGTTTTCCGACACCGTTGCCCATATGAAAGAAAAAACTGAAAACAAGAGAAAGAAAGTGAGGAGAGAGAACACAGGAGAAGATGGTGCCTAGAGTTGATTGGTCATGGAGATGGTGTGGTTTGTTGTTGGGAAGAGAGAGAGAAGAATGAGGAGAAGATGAATGAATAAAAGAGAGACGGAGGGAGCTGACTTTTGGTGATTTGTTTGGATATATGGTTTGCTTTGAATTTTTATTTATTTGATTCTGAATAATTTCTGATAGTGGGCTTTTGTGGGCGTTGACATTTGCACCAAAAAAAAAAAAAAAAAAAATGGTTCATATTCAAAGCGTGTGGTTGAGTTCAATACAGTAGAAGTGGAGAAATTTAAAACATTCTCGAGTCAAAAGTTATACAAACGTTAAGTTGATGAATATAGGGAAAGGTCAACAGTTTATGGGGGTTGTGCATCTGGATATAGCTAGTTGACACGTGGCATAGTTGATTTTGGCACACGGAGTTGACTTTCAGAGCCGTGGGCTGCTCAAGGTCCAACTTAGTGAACAGAGACATGCGTTTCATGTGAAACTAGGTACTGTATTTGATTGTTTTGAGTTTCTTGAGAACTTCTATTTTCTTGTAACTGAAAATTGAAAAACAGAACAAATTAGATGTCACGATTTATTCATGAATACAATCATGAATTGATCAACAAAGACTCCACTAGTCTAGCGTGAATCAAATTTTGTTATAAAAATAAATCAAATTTGTCCAAAATTAAGTATCATTATAGAAATAGTTAAGCATGAGGAGACGTTATAGAATTGTGTTAAGAGTAGTGATAATTACACCGAACCCTTAGAATTGTCTAACCTAATAATTTTTAATTAACTATTTATATCAAATATAATTAAGTAAAGGGTTTCACTCTCTTATTTGTTACATAACTAATTAATTAAAAAATAAATTTAGTAATTTACTGTAATTATTAGGTACAAAAATCATTATTCTTGAGTTAATGATCCAAATATAGACTAATTAATGCTTTAGAAAAATATTAGTGCGATTCTTTTAATATAGAGTATTATTAGAAGGAATAGATTTGATAAATGCAACGGACCTCAATTAGTTTAAGAGGCCTGTGGTTTGCTGGACACAGTTGGAGCTTTTTAAAAGAAAATTATTATTATTTTTTTAACATGCAGTTGGATTTTTGCCAAATGACAACTGACAAATTGAGGCGTATTATGCCGATGTAGACAAAGAAAGAAAGTGACAAATCAAATACTAATTCATATACTACTTTATTTTAGAATTAATTCACTTTCACAGGTTGACATTTTACAATTCAAACATAACAAACTAAGCTGCGTTGGAGTTGGAGTTGGAGTTGGAGTTGGAGTTGGCGTTTGGATTGTTTTATTACATCTTCAACTTATGTCAACTTCTCTCCTCCATGACCCCTATATATATATATATATTTGTTATCACAGATTAATGAAGAGTATAGAAAACACACTTCTTTTTATAATTATAAAAAAAATATTATTCTTAATTAAAGTTTAATATAATTATCATTTTTCATTAAATATATAATTAAAAATTAAATTAAAGATCTTTGTTCATTATATATGTAATATACATTTAGTTATTAAACTTTACAATTTGCAATAAATTTTCATTTGAATTCAAAACATGATAGTTTTTAGGATAAAGGGTAAAAAACACCCATATGATGCTTGATGTCATTTTGTTTTGTGTCCATTTTCGTCATTTCACAAAATATGTATTTTTAAATAATATGTAAAATGTGAATATTATAATAATTTAGGTAAATTCTACCTTAAATGTGTCACAGAGGGACTTATTTGCACAAATTGAAACTTTAGGAGTGTTTACTGTACATGAAGGATATGATATGCACTGTAAGCATACTATAGGTAGGGGTGGTAATTCATATTGGTGGGTTGTGTTCTTGTCAGGTCAGAGTATAAGTGTTCTGTTATATGGGTTGATACAAATACGACACGATTATTATTTGTGTCAAGAAACTCCAACACGAACACGACACGATTATTATTTGTGTCAAGAAACTCCAACACGAATACGACACGATTATTACATAAGTAACACGACACGACACGCACAAATTGTTTAGTAAATGAGTCAAAACTTGGCATAACAGGACAAAACACGTTTAAATCATTTTTTACATGAACACAACACTTTTATTCAACACATTTAGTTAAACGGGTCATTTTTTACACGAACATGGCACGTTTATTTGACACATTTAGCTAATCGGGTCATAAATAGATTGACAGGTCAAACACGAATACAACACACTTAATAACTAGGTCAATTCAGGTCAACACAATTACAACACGATTAAGTCAAACACAAATCCACTTATCTCATGTCATGGCAAATATTACCATCCTAATTATAGGGATGTTTTCTGCACTTAACCCTTAATCTAATCTACTAGTTCAAGCACACAACACTAATTAAAAATTTGGTTATTATATAATTATCCTATTTATATTTGTCACTGCATTAATTTGAATACTTACAGAGCATGGAGTTTGATTAGTTTTGTTTTGATGAGAAAAACTTAAATGTTCATGATACAGTAATGATATGGTATGACAGCCTAATTAAATAAGTATGTATAAATAAGAATGCATTTATTTTAGTGAGTTTTATCAATATATGTGTTAATATTTAATTAGTGCATAATATCATATCATTATTATAGCAGGAAATTAAATTTTCAAGTGATCATGATAGTCCGTGGAACTTGGCGTGCCTTAACTAGATATCAATATCATAGGACATGATATAGGATTTCTTATTTTGTCTGAACACTTGTAATTTGATATAGGTGTTGTTTGATAAAATTAAAAATTTTAAAAATTGAATTTTAAGTACCAAAGTTTTTAAGTGGTAATAAAAAAATAAAATAAAAATTGATTTTTCAATATTCATCATTGAGTGGTAAGTGATGTTTTTATTACTTAAAATTTTATCCTGTTTTAAGTTATGTTTACCGTTTTTAATGATATTTAAATTGTGTTATCAAACACATTTAATTGAATAAGCTCTTAATCCGTCCAAAGTTAAACATTGAATTGAGTTTTAAAACAACATCTATACTGTTATAAGTATGGGTTGGTCAACTTTGACGGCCAGTTAGGATTGTTTTCATTGCAGTATTTCTTCAATTCTTCAATTTCCTAAAAGATTGTACTGCTTCAAGGCGCATCCTTTAAGTGGAATCTACCTCGTTGCTACAGACCTCCTCTATGTCCATCAGATTGAGGATCGGAATCGGAATCCTCCATAACCTCTACTCTGTTGTTTGCATAGGATAATACTTGTCTACTCACCGATGAATAGGAAATTTATACTCACCACGTATGTGGCGCAATACTAAACTGACAAGTGTCTTTATATTTAAAATAATAAAAAATAAATAATTTGATAACTATTTGGTAACCCCAAATGAATCCGAATAAAATTCTAATTCTTTCTCACGCTTCTATCACATGGAAGCCCTAGTCTCATCCATTATATCCCTTTCTCTCTCTCTCATATTTTTAAAGGAGAGACTCGTGTCTCCAGAGAACTGGAAGAATAAGAAGAGGAGGAAAGAGAAGCCTAAGAAGTGTTGAGGTAAGTAAATATATTTTCTCTTGAATTAGGTATTGAATTTCTCATGGATCAATTATTTAGATGCCCTCTTCTTGTTTTATGTTTCAAACATCAGTAAGTTGTTAAAAGACAAAGTACTGGGCAATGACATTTACTACATTGTCCAAATAGAATCTATTGCAATTGCAGTAAAATTGTCCATGTAATCATAGATATGTTTGGTTTAGTGAGTTTTTTAGTATTGTAAAATTACTTTTTATTTAGTTTTGTATATTTAAAATAGACAATATATAACCAACAAAAGTATACTTTGTATTTATTTTTTGTACATCTAAAATAGACCATATAAGAGGAGGGAGAATTAAAATTTGATTCGGATTCATTCAGGTTTACTTCGACTAGCTATTAAATTATTTATTTTTTATTATTTTAAATACAAGTTTAGCATTGCTCCACATTTGTGGTAAGTAAAAGTTTCCTATTCACAGATGAGTTGGCAAGTATTATCAGATATTAGTGCTAATTTAAGATATTTGTTAAGTTGGACCGATTGTTATGGTCCAAGGTCTAGTGTTGTGGCCAAACTTGGGCTTATTTGGTTACTTTTGCTTCGTTCTATATGGACTTGTTTTGGCCCAAGGCCTATGTGTACTATTATCATTATATATACATTTGTTTAATCTTTCAAAAAAAAAAAACTTTGACGGGCCAGCCCAAACAACATGGGTGGATAGCAAGGACTAAAGCGGTAGCTGAGAAGTTTATCCTCGCACTTCTTTGTGCCTATTGGGCTGGGCTCAAGATTTACTTGCTATAAACATCAATCTCACTTCCATATTTGCAGTGCCAAACCACATGTATTCATCATTTATTAATTAATTTTATTCACATTAAGTTTCATGAATATACATATAGTTATATATAATAATTAACAAAGTGTCTATCACAACCCATAGATATAGTCTATATATATATATATATATCACATATATGTTTTGTTACTGTAAGGATGGCAATTTCCTTCTACCCAGCGGGTTTCAGCCCCACCTCCGCCCCTAATGGAGTGGATTTAGTGGCCCATAAATGGATTTGAGACTGATATGGTAAAGTAATTGAAAACCTGAAGCGGGTTTGAGGTGAGGACGAATTTATTGATGACCCCGCCCCGATTATATATGTACCTTTTAATTTTTTTTATTCATATATGAAATATATATTTTATATTTTTAAAACTCTTGTTACTTTGTTGGAAGTGTCCGTTAATATATTAATATTCACTACTTAGTAATTTAAAGTTGGACCAACTTATTTATCAGTCCAATTTGAGTACATTGGACTAGTTTTTTTTTACTGCGTAATAAAGTGGTATAACCCGGCCACCCTGCCGCGCCCCGCAATTAAATAGACTACATGGGGCAGAGTCGGTACTTTGTTTATTGAAGTAGGGACAAAGATAGTATAACAATTACAAATCCGTTCCGGGATAGGAGTTGAGTTGGTATGATAGATTTTCTAATGAGGCATGAGTAAGATTTAACCAAACCCATTACAATTCCCTATTTGTTAGACATCATCTTTCACATCATTCCTAAACCTCACAACCCTTTAAGCCATTACAAACTTGTCAAACTAATTTCATGTTGATGTGGGCAAAACATAGATCCTTACCTTGATGGAGTAGCCCTTTCAATTAATATCAAGGGTGATAGCAAATTTTATAGGGACAACTAATAAAATTATTATTTTTTTACAACTAAAATTCACAAATTACTATTTCTTATGTGAACAGAAAA